TCTGCGAATTTTAGGTTTTGTTTTCAGAAGATCGTTCGGAGGGAGGAAATGCAGAAATTCAAGATCCCTGTCTAGAGGAGTGAAAGATACTGGACCATAAAATTTTGGATCAACTTTTCAGCAACAATACATTCCTGCAGTGTACAGTATTTCGAAAACTGGAAAAGCTTAAAAGCGGAATTCGATGGAAAATGAAATTCACTTTTGATGAATGGCATAATGAAGTCGCATTACATCTCGGGGGGAAAAAAATGTTGTCATAAAATCGTACGAACGAAGTAAATGGGAAAAGTTGAAGTTCCGTATTCACTCGATTTTAGAGGATGGACTTGACAATTTTTGGATCGAATGTCCAACAACAACGAGTATGAACAGTACATGGAGTGTATTTCGAAAACTGCGTAATTCTAAAGCGTGAAATGCAACTGCAAATTAAGTTGACTTCTGAAGAACACGGTAGTTCTGAAACAAATATTTATTTCGCATCAAATATCGAGTTTTTGAATCGCGTAATCGTCGCTCAGAAGCTTCTTTTTATTTTTTTGTGCCTAAATGTGCCTTAGTTGGTAACTTATCCCCAAACTTTTACCAGACAGCTTTTATTGTTGGGAAAATCTGTATGAGAAGTCCCCCTTATTTTGATGTGGAATTTCAGTAAAATATGCTTCATCTCGCATTGCAATTTTTTTTTTCAACTCGGAATTACAGACGAAAAAATACATTGGAATAATGTCTCGTGAAGCCTCTGGTGATGTGTTTCTTTTGAGGATCAATCGTGAAATCGACAAGGTTTGTACTAAATTTAAGTTTTAGTTCCGTTTAGAAAATATTTGTTCCGCAACGAAAATGTGTGACGACGTTCCTCGGTGTCGTGAATAACACTGGGACACTCCCATTGACGCGACTAACTTCATAGAGACCCCCACATTTTTCTCCAAAAAAAGGGGAGGGGGATGTGAATGTTCCTCTTGCTTCGTTGTGTCGCAATTATGGTTATATATATATATATATATAGTTTTTTTTTCTCTGTCACAGTGTGCATGTGACAGACTCATACGATTGCAGTACATGAGCCCATTCTTTCTGTAGTAATGTCTGGAAAGGAGAGGCGTAATAAGGGCCGATTCGCATCAAATTCCCCGCATGTACGTGACTTGGTTTCTTCATTTCGTTGACGACAGTTATGCTGAAGGCGTGGCTGGAAATCTTTGTTTTTTTTTCGTTTTCTGGTTAAAGATACAGCACAGTATTATTTTGTGTGTGTGTGTTTGTTTAATCTTGGATGCGTGCCGTGTTTTCGGAATGGGGAATTCTTCATTGAAAATAATTTCAGCGGAAATTCCGAGAAGCAAGACAGATTTCGTGTTGATTTTCTTTTTTGAAAAATGCACGAAAGATTATTTTAATGTGATGAGGTTGAAAATGGTTTAGATTCGATTTAAAAAAAAAAGTATAATTGTGCGTTGTTCCGTATGTCTTGAAGTTCTCTGCGATGTGCTTCAATTGGCGTATTTGTTTTGATCCGAATGTGACCTGTTATCGGAATGCTTGATCGGTATCGTGTATATTTCCCTTGGGAAATTTTCTTGGGACTACGTACAAAACATGTTGACGTGAGGCCCGAATTTTCCTGGGATGGGATTTTTGTCGTGTGTTGATCCTCTGAAGCTCTTGTGACTTAAGGTCGTGTATAAAATTTCAGAACTTTATTCATCGTAATAATTTTGGTGGAGGGCTTGAAATTATGGGATTTACGATGAATTCGATGAGAAATGTGGAATCAATGTGTCCTTTGAAATTTAAAGTCTGACTTTTCCTGAACTGATCGGAATTATTCTGCAGAATTTGCGCGAATCTTCGGATGACAATTTATCAATTTTTTTATATTTTTTTATTTAGCTGGAAACTCTTGTCATTTTTGCTAATCCTTTAGAGAAGCTCGAGTTGAGAAGTTTACGTCTGCCTCTGACATGGGATTTCTGAAGTGGATTAAAAGCGAAGGAAATGCTTGCATTCAATTATTGTATTCGCAGAGCACTTCCGGTGATGAGCTCTTGTCCAAATGCGAGGAATGTTAATCAAGCTGCGAAAATGTGTGACGTTTGCAGCGACGAATTGGTCGCATTCGACTTATTACTTTTCTCTGCGAAATTATTTTGTTTTCTCATTTTTTTTTTGTGTGTGTGGAGGAAATCTGAATTGGATGAATTTAGCGTTGAAGAGTGATATGAGTTGTTGGCCCTTTTCGAGTTTGAATTTTCCAAATTTTGTTCCAACTTTGAAGGATTTCAAAAGTCATCCCAACCGTTAGATTTATTTTTTTTTTGTGTATGGCTAGGAATTGTCTTCAGATTCTCTGACCATATTCTGCTTTTAATGAACGAAGGTGAAGTTCTTTCTTTTTTTTTCAAATGTTACCACTTTTCGTATTTGAACACCCCAATTTTGTTTCTGCTTCGAAGGATTTCAAGGCTCGAGTATTCGAAAATCATCCTAACTGTACGATGTACAATAAACTTTCGGTACAACGAAATTGGGCCTGAAAAAAAAAGCTTCGTTGTTGAGATAAATACGCAATAAAGCGATATGAATAACGTGTTTGCTATCGGACAGGGACCTAAAAAAAACTGCGTTGTGAGCGGTTATTCGTTATAACGAGATTCAAATATTATTTTAAGGAATGGATTTGAAGTGTTCGCGTGAATGATGGAAAAATCCGCTTTTGAAGAATGATAATCTGAGGTGCACAATTTTGAAAATCTCTTGACTATATTCTCCTTATTATAATGAAGGTGAAGTACTTCACTCTGGTTTTGTATGTCCCCAGGCTGCGTAATCCATGTTGAAGAAAAAAAATATTTCGAGTTGAATCAAACTTGGCAATGCTCCGAGGATCTCGGACCTATTGTGTCAATCTTCTTTTTTTTTATTATTTACCCCCACGTAAGAAACAAAAAAATGGTGTTTCACTTCTCGCAGGACTGGCTGCCTTGAACCTCTTGCTGCGAGTACTTGGTGCCATTTTTTGCGGCAACCCTGGGGTTTTTTTGCCGCAAGCCCCGCCCATTTCGTTCATCCAGGGATTGCCATATATGGCGATGCCGCACAGCAGCCGGGGAAAAAGGATCTTATTCCCTCGCTGTGCAGCGAATATTAGGGAGAGACCCCAGGGGCTGGTGCTTGCTCAGTTCACCCCTTAGTTCCCTCTCGTAGATCGATGAGAGCAGTTGGAGAGCCGGAAGTGAATTCACGTAGTGCACATGTACTGTAACTGTACTTTTAATTTTAAATATTTATTCGATTTATTTGAGAATGTTTATCCTTGTGGTAGTCGACGTCCTTATTTGATTAAAAATCCGTGTACTGTTGTGCCTCGTGTGGCGGGACTAAAGTAAAAACTTCGTACAGCATATTTTCAGTGCACTTGAACAAACTTTTTTTGCACGTCAAAATTTTTTTAGGAATCATCAATGTATTCTTCAGGCGGAAGTTCGTTGACTTAGTCAGGCACTGCAGTCCGAAATTTCAGAACCCAAATGTTACTGACTTCGGTTTTTTTTTAGTGTGGTTTTTTTTTAGTGTAGATGGAAGCCGTAATCCATGAAAAATATGCTTCCATGATGTGCATCATTCTCCCAGAATGGAGAAATCGGTTCAACTTATGGAATGCATGATGGAAGCTCACTCAGTTTTTCAAACAATTATGAAAAATCGGAGAATCGCTGAAAAGATGTAATCGATTATTGACAAGTCTGATTTGAAATTTTTCCTAGGCATTAATTTCAAAAATCTCATAACGAATTATGCAATGTGACAACCTTTATCTGAAGTCCCCAAAAGTTTTTTTTTTATCAGATTTTACTGTATAGGGAATTTTTATACAGGTTAGCATACTACTGTACTGTACAACGATTTTCTTTGTAGAACGATTTTTTTTTACATGGGTTCTCTACCCATCATATTAAGGTTTATCTGAAACGATTTTGTTGCTTGTTTTCCAATACTTTGTATAGAGAGAAAGGCTACCGATAATTAATTCAGCAGACGATATTCATTGTTGGCCATCTCGTTAGGAAAATATCAATTATTTCCACAAAGACGAGCGTTTTTCCTCTTGTTTTGCTGTATTGCTTGCATACTGTAAGATTGTTGGCTATATCGTGAATACTCGGTTTAAGAAGTTTTCCTAAGACTTGCGTTACCAATTTGAAAAGTCTCAAAATTGAGTTGAGAGAATATTTCTTGCTGTATTTTGTTTCGTTCAGGCAAATTTTCGGCTTTCAGACAAGGGGAAACCGTAATGTGAAGCGTTCATCATAGGAGTTCCACCGTGTGATTCATTGTGTAGATAATTTCGTTGTCGAGGAGATGCTCGAGCTTTATGTATCAAGAACAACTAGGATAAAATAAGGAAATTGGTGGAAACTTGCCGTTCGGAGATTGTTTAAGGCGAAGTGTTTATTTCGTTTCGAAATTGTGTACTGTACCCGCTTGTGATGTTTGTGCCATGATTATTTTCGATTAACGACGACGTTCTCGAGTTACAGCATTTTTGGTTTGAAATTTATTATTGGTTCTTCTCTTTTTTGCCGGTAAGTTTTCGGATTTTAAATTTGAAAGGGTCGATATTTCACAAGTTCAAGGGCTAGCAATTGGATTATGCTTATGAATAATCTTTGGGGGAAGGTTTTTTTAGAGAAGTCTTGAAGGCCGCTACACTCGTCTTTTCTTATATTTTGAATAGTTGAATGATTCAGCATTTATTTCCGAGCCGAAAATTTAATGTTCTCGAATGGTAATACTGTAAGTGATCATTGATTCGCCTTTTTCTTCGCATATTTGGCCCTGTTATTTATGTTGATGATATGCTCTGTTGAAATTCCTGTAACTTACATATTGACGAGTGTAGTTTTTTTCCTAGTAAATTATTCGTCAAGCTTATGTTGGAACAAGACAAAAAATTACGTCGTGTCTTCGATTCACGATTTATAGCCGGAATCTACGTGCCTTAAGAAATAAGCTATTTAAGGAACAAGAATGAAAAGGAAAAATACCATGAAGGTTCATCGATTAACCGTGTTGCAAAAAAATCTCACTGCCCATTCCTCGTACAGAAGTTTTATCATTTTACAAATTATTCTTCCGAGCTGGTGTTTTGTTGAAAGACAGAAACTTCCTTGTCCTTCGTCTCATTGATTGTTTTGGACGTGTATATTTTTCCCCTCTCCGGATAATATTATCGCTTTCTTTTTTTTTCCTTCGGTCGACTCTTGACCTCAATTAGCCTTCCGTCGTTTCGCGAAGCGTGAAAGTGGTGTTTTGGGGTTTGTTTTTGTTTTTCCTTCGCTCAAATTTTAAATTGCGAAAATGTGTGACGAAGACGTTGCTGCACTCGTGGTTGATAATGGGTCCGGAATGTGCAAAGCCGGATTTGCTGGGGATGATGCCCCCAGGGCTGTGTTTCCGTCTATTGTTGGGCGTCCTCGTCATCAGGTATAAATTGAGAGCATTTTGCCTGACGATAATTTTTTCGATGGATTACGATTAAACTTTTAATTAAGAGAAGTAATTATGACGAATACTTCTGCGAATTTTATTTGCTAGATTTTCATACACCTGAGGCGAAGAAACCGAATTGAGTAATGATAATAAAAGCGCCCGTGTTACTTCAATCGTGTACCTGAACACGTGTAACGGATTAAATTTCAATTGAACATCGATCAAAAAATGAAGAAACTTGATATAAAAATCTGAATACTTCTTGGATCAATACACTCTTCCGAGTCGTGACTTTATCTCGTCATTTTGCCTAAATTTCTGTCTTTGAATTTTAATAGAGCATTGAATGATCGAAAAATCGAAAACCCCGATTTAGAACTTCGAATACCTTTCGTATCACCACACTGTTACAAGTCTGACTTCATTCTGTCGTTGCTTACGAACATATCCAAAAAAAATTTGATTCGTATCTTGCGGAAGAATGGCTCCCTTGAAGCGAATAAGCGCTAAAAGCAAGCGACACCTATGCAATGAAAATTAAAGTTCTTGATTAATCTCAGGTTTAGCAATTGAGAATCTGACTGCGAACTTGCGATTTTTTTGAAGGATTGAAAGTCAGAAGTTACTGAGCTGTAAACCCTAAAAATAATTTGACAGTATTCTAATTGGGGGAAGATAATTTTTTTAAATCGAAGCCTGGTTTATTCTTCTGCAGGGTGTAATGGTTGGGATGGGCCAGAAGGATAGTTACGTGGGTGATGAGGCACAATCTAAACGAGGTATCTTGACACTCAAGTACCCGATTGAGCACGGGATCGTCACCAACTGGGACGACATGGAGAAAATCTGGCATCACACGTTTTACAATGAATTGCGCGTGGCCCCGGAAGAGCACCCAGTCCTACTGACTGAGGCTCCTTTGAATCCAAAGGCCAATAGGGAGAAGATGACTCAGGTGATTTCAATTGTTCAAAATAATGGGGAAAAAAACAAACGAATCGGGAGAAGAATCCTCTCTTTTTTTCTTTAGATCATGTTTGAAACCTTCAATACACCCGCGATGTATGTTGCGATTCAAGCTGTTCTGTCTTTGTATGCGTCTGGAAGAACTACTGGCATTGTGCTTGATTCTGGCGACGGTGTGTCTCACACTGTGCCAATTTATGAAGGCTATGCTCTTCCGCATGCCATTTTGCGCTTGGATTTGGCCGGCCGTGATTTGACTGACTACCTCATGAAAGTCTTGACTGAGCGTGGCTACTCCTTCACCACGACTGGTAAAGCATACCCGAGTCAATTGGATTTTTTTTTTCGTACAATATTTTTATGTCTACTCGAGTTAATTTTGGACGAATTAACGTAATTTATACAGTTATAAACGGTGGAAGTTGAACTTTGATGGACCAGCAAACAAATTCTAGTTTGATATTCCAGAATTATTTTTTTTTAATGAAAGTGACAAAAATTGTAATAGGTATTTTCTAGACAATTAATTGCTTTTGAAATGACTTTACAAGATGCTAAACTTAGAGGCAAGATTTCATCTTCCCAATTAGTCTTCCAGTTCTTTAAAAAGGTCATCAAGTAATATGTTTGCTTATTCCTTGTTTTGTGTGTCTGTAAAATAATATCCGAAAGACCTCCAGAACATTAGAGTTATGAGAAGAAAAGCCCTTGATGCATGGAGGTTTTTAATGCATTGTTTCTGAGGGAATCCAGATGGGGGCCTGGAAATAATACTTGGGAGGTTTGTGTCATCAAGTTTGAACTATATTTCCAATAAACAAAAAATGTTTTGGCCTTGATCTTGTTGAGATGTCGCCCAAATAATATGGCTCCAACTGAGTGATTCACATCAGTGTTCCCCTACCCATGGTCTGTGTGCTTACACTGGTCAGCAGAAGTTTTTTGTGGGGTTAACGTAAATTTTCTTCAGGAAAAAATATTCATCAAAATTAGCATTCAAGTCTTATTTTTGTCTGAAATTAGGGTAAAACAGCAGTTGAAATTACTGTATCTCATGAAATGTAAAAGCTGGCTTTTCTCATCCTAATAACACTTCACACAAATTTCTACCTGCTGAAATTTATTCCAATAAATCTTCTATTCCTCAACCTTCCTTCAAGACCTCCTTTCTTTTTGAAGACATTCCACTATAGCTGGTTCATGACTCAACTTTTGCAACAAAGCCTGAACTTTTTCAAAACTTTCATAAAGTCTTTCAAGCAAAACTTTCAAGTCTGCCAAAAATTTTCTGAATTGTTGCAAGTCCGCAGACAATTTTTGGGAAATTTACAGTTCTACCCAAACTTTTGAAAAGTTGATGGTCTTTGGCCCCAGAAAGTGGGGGAACACTGTTATAGATCAGGTGCATAGACCAGTTTTCCTTTGAAGTTACTGGAACATCAGGGAAGATGTCGCCCTATTTAATTATGGAAAAAATCCTTTAAAATGTTATCAATGGACAATTCGTTAGAAATTTACAAAAACGCCTCCTGATTTTGGTGGAATAACGTTTTGGCTATTGGACATGGACAAATTGTCCCTGATGCGAATGATCCAACTTTTTAGCTGAACGTGAAATTGTGCGCGACATCAAGGAGAAGTTGTGCTACGTGGCACTCGACTTTGAGCAGGAAATGGCAACAGCAGCGTCATCTAGCTCTCTGGAGAAAAGCTACGAGTTACCGGATGGCCAAGTCATCACCATCGGCAATGAACGTTTCCGTTGCCCCGAAGCCCTGTTTCAACCATCCTTTCTCGGAATGGAGTCGTGCGGGATTCACGAAACGACGTACAACTCCATCATGAAATGCGACGTGGATATCCGTAAAGACCTGTATGCCAACACTGTTTTGTCTGGCGGCACTACGATGTATCCTGGCATCGCTGACCGGATGCAGAAGGAAATCACTTCCTTGGCGCCGTCTACGATGAAGATTAAGATCATTGCGCCGCCGGAAAGGAAATACTCTGTTTGGATCGGCGGTTCTATTCTGGCGTCTTTGTCCACGTTTCAGCAAATGTGGATTTCCAAGCAGGAATACGACGAGTCTGGGCCATCGATTGTGCATCGCAAATGCTTTTAAGGAAAGGAAACAAAAAGGGGGGGAGGGGAAAGAAACAAGCGTCGTGTTTGTGTAACGGAAACAAAAATCTTTGTAGGGGTGGGGGAGCGGATGATTTGTACATACATTTTCGTGCGAATATCTTTTCTTTCATCTTTTTTTTTTTTGAGATTTCAGTGAGGTCACAGCCAGCTGATGAGAAGACAATTTGCCAGTTTTTTTTCTGGAATTTCTCGAGAAGTTCTGTTTTAAAAAGCGATGCCTGAATGAGTTTTGCCGATTGAACCCGATCTCTTTTTATTGCCTGGTGAGATGTTATGTTCGAACCTGTCGTATCCCTGCCTCTGGGCTAAAAAAAAAAAAAAAATATGCTGTTCCTCGATTCAAAATAGTGACGATGGCTTTCATTACGAATGAATGAATGAATTTCGCGGAGAAATTCCTGGCTTTGAGCCAAAGAACGATTTCAGCGGAATCCCCTTTTTTCAAGCTTCCTACAGCGGTGCGAGACCGAAGGATTTTTTGTGCAATGAGAACTTTTGAAAAAATGTATTCCGAAATTAGGAAAGAAGTTTTTCCTCGAATCTGGTCATTTTAGAATTAAGACCGATGTTTTTTTTTCTTCTCCAGAGTGAACAATATATTCCGTACTAACGTTTGGAAAAGGCTTTTTTCCTTACAGTAGGCCATTTTAGAATTAGAGACCAAAGGATTTTTTGTTCAGGAAGAACGTGTGAAAGATTTATCTTCAAGTTTGGAAATAGGCTTTTTTTCCTTGAATCAGGTCATTTTACAATTGAAATTAAGAACGAAGGATTATTTGTTCATGAAGAACGTGCGAAAATTTTCGCTGAATTTTGGATAAAGGTTTTTTCCTAGTCATCGTCATTTTAGAACTCAATTTTAATTCTGGAAGTTCTTTAATAATCGAAAGCTTCGCGCGTGGAAACTGAGAAATGTGCCGGACAAATTGTTTATACGTGAGATTTTCGCAAATGGGTCATTCGAGAAATGTACCTTGATCGCGCTTTTGTAAGTCACACTACCGGTCATTGTATATTGAAATATTTGTTTCTGGAATCTGGTCCATTGGGTTTTTCATGGCGGTTCTCCTGTAGTACACACAACAGTAAGAATGTCGGCTGTATTAAAATTTTAGTTACTCTTGAGCTGGATGTGATCTCACTTGCTTAATCTGGTTTTAAGTTTAGCTTTTTCTCGAAATTTGTCACGAAAAAAAAAAGGAAAGTAAGTCAGATTTTGGTGTAGCTTGCTTTATTTCGGGGTCGAGAGTTTTTCTTTTTTGTATTGAGGCTTGAGAAGCCCAATTTTTGTGCCCTCGAGGCAAGAGCGTCAAAAAATGGATTGAGGGTTTTGCCGAGTTGTGTTCTGGACAATGTACGAAAAAAAATAATATCGCTGGCATGAGCCCTTGGAAGTACATTGCCAAACTTCTCTTACTGTTTCCGGTTTCTCATGGATTTGGAGAAAGACGAATAAAAAACGTGTTGTACTTGAAATTTGCGTTTGTTTGGTCCTTCGACTGGATTTATTTCTTGTTCAATGCGCAGACGCTCGTTTTTAGCGTCGGCGTGTTTTTTGTCTAGATCAGTCTAGATTGCATTTGCTTTCAAAGATATTTACATTGTTTCTATGAATTTTCATTTGATCAAAATCATTTTTCTGCTACTATCACGCTGACTGTGAAAGTAGAATTGATGATGGAATTGTCAAAATTCGTGAAACAAGAACGCGGGATCTTGAAATGTAAGCTGATTTTTTGAGTGCGTGTCCCTTCGGTTCAGATTTCCAGAATTATGTTGAATCGGTGGTAAAATATCTATTTTTCGATAAGTAAAATCATAAAAAAGGCCCATCATACAGGCACTGACTTGACATGAGGACATTGCTTGATAAAATTGCCAATACCTTTTAGGAAAATTGACTTGTATTAGGTTTAATTGGAAGAAACAGATACTTCCAAGCTTAAGATCTAAGCAAGAAAAATTCTTTTGTACTTTTTCCATCACTTTCCCATCCATTCATCTAATTTAAAAAATATTTCCTATAGCACAGAGGAACTTCCTTCTCTGTTTGTGACTTGAATGTTATTTTTACAGATGAAAACATTTCAATGAACTGTACAGTGGTATACTATTCAATGCTCCAAATGTTCTTACAGGGTTGAAAATACAGTATATTCACTGAATCGAATTCAAGTGGCAAAAAAGTTTTTTTTCATGGAATTCCAAAGAGTATTTCTTCCATAAAACACCAATTAACAATTATGTAATATTAAGTCTTTGGAAAAACAAGACTCAACTTGGGTACAATTCAACTTAGGGACACTCTTGATGCACCAATTATGTCCGCATCTGTGGGTCTCACTTTTGGTTTCTTTGTTGGACGAAGTTCTTACATTTGAACTTGTTTGTTACGCTGACTATGAATGAATGAACAGAAAACTTTATTTGCCACTTTTCAGCGTTCACAAGGCACAACCAAGACTCCTGCATCCAAACCCCCTCCCCACCCAACCCAACTCCCCCCAAAGACATTCAATCACTTCAAAGCATGAAACAAAGCACAAACCAATGACAAAAACAAAAGAGAACACAATCCACAAAATAAAACTGGAAATCCTACAGTATGCTGCATACACCCACCCATCCCCAATATTGAAGACAAAGCAGCAGTAAAAGTTTAACGTCTGCAGTGGGAGGAACGACCAGGAGGATCCTACAGGGGTCTGGTGGGGGGAATAATAAGGACGTCGTGTAAGGTGTGTCTGTGGCCTTTTGCACCTTGAATTAATTTGCCTACTTGAAAACGCATCAATAAACATCAAGTTGTCAGGATGGCCAAGTGGTCTACGGTGCTGTGTTCAGGTCACAGTCTGGTTCTTCAGGCATGGGTTCAAATCCCACTTCTGCAATCATTTTTTTCGTTTTTTTGTCCGCACTGCGGACACTCTACTACTTGTTTAAAGCACAAGGTCTTCAGCCTGTTTCTGTATGAGTTTTAGTTCAATGAACAATTTAGCATGACTATGAAATTTGCAAATATTCTTGTTATCTTCTCACGATTCCGCTGTACAAAATTTGTTTGTCTTTTTCATCGCTCACATAACCCGTTTCTAAGATGGTTTCCATTGCGGAACCCGTTCAACAGATTTAATTCTACCCAACGTCTCGATTACAAAAAAATTCAATTTTTTCCCGAGTGGCTGCAAAGCCCTTGTGAATTTCAAGTGGGAATCCAGTCTCGACCTCTGAGAATATCTTAGCTTGATGTCAAGAGTACCCGACTGTAAATTCTTCGATAAAAGCTTGATCTTTGGAAATTCGGATCACGAATCGGGGGTTTTCCGGGTTCTATTACGTCACTGGCCGCGAAATTTTTACAGTATTATGCAGATGTGCTGGAGGATCGTTTGAATTATTTTATTATTGGAGAGAACCTGTATTTATTTCTTGAGTGGCCACAATATTTTCACTGGGAATGCTTTCATTTCTTTCTGGTTTTAGACATTCCAATTGGAAAACCGCTTTTAGTAGGATTAGATTTTTTTTTACTGTGTGAAGTATACCTGGCGTTGACGAAGAATATCTTGTTGATCAGGCCATTCTTCCGCACGAATCCCTGAGAAATTTCTGTGTACTAAAACCAACCAACTATTTGTTGGATGAGTTTATTTGAATGAGATTCGTTCCAGATTGATGTACTGTACACGCTTTTCACGTGAAGAGTGTTCGATTTCCGCGTGGTTGTCAATCGGTGACTTTTTTTTTCTCACAGCGTTCCGAGCACAAGGAGGGAATTTTCGATAATCGAATCATCTTCAAAGATTTTCTGGTCCATTTTCCGTCTTCTAAATCGTTTAAATTTGTTCATTCGAACAATTTTGCGGCTATGGATGGTGGAGAAAATGAGCAGAATCCGCGTTTGCGGAGTGCAAACGCGGAATCAATTTTGGAATCAAAGCGGGCTGAGATATCCGTCTATTCGTGTCCAAATTGACGGAATATTTTTTTAGAAATTGAAAAATCATCGCAATAATTCAAAAAAACTTTCGAACAACTCTCTGAACATTGCGCGGAATATATTGGACTTATACTCGAATTTGAAATATTGCGTGTGACTCTCGCGATCAACTTTTCACTCGCAGGGACTGCCAAACACTGCGATCCCTCTGCAAGATGTTTTGCGCTCAAATTGGCTAAGTTTGAACTGTATCTTTATTTTTTTCATTGACTCAGTAATTCAGTGCAACTTTCAAACAACTCTTTTGGAACCATGCGGGCGGAAATCACTCACCCCTTGTTCATATTTCAATTCGTTGAACATTAAAAAAAAAATGTTAAGAAAAAATTATGTACAATAATTTACAGCAGTGTTCCCCAACCCGTTTCGAAGGTCCGCGTGAAATTTTTTTCAGCGTAATAAATTTATCCAAATTCGCAATTAAGTCTGTTATCTTCGTCGGAATTTTCGGAAAGACAACGGCAGTTGAATTTATCTCATGAAATATAAAAGTTGTCTTTTCTCCAAAAAAAGCTTCCGTCAAAATATCACCTGCTTAAATGCATTTCTTTCAGTTCTTCCTTCTGAGAAACTTTTCTTCAAGTCCACCTTTCCAATTTGTTGAAGACACACCACTAATAAGCGAATTAATTGGTTCTCGAATTAATTTTTTGCGAAAAACAAACTATTTAAAATACCTGCCAGAAATAATTTCAAGCAAAACTTTTTTTGAGTGTGCAAAAAAATTTATAAAATGTTGCCAGTCTGCAGAAAATGTTTTGGAAATTTGTTAAGTCTGCAGGCTCAAAAAGGTCGAACACTGCTGTACAGTGTGTATAATTTTGCAAAAGACTTCGGACGAATACTCTATAGTATTTTGAAACATGGCGTAAAGTAACTCTCGCTACTTCAATCCCCCCCCCCCTTGCAGGTACTGCAAAATGTGTTGTGCTCAAATCGGCGGAGCATATTTTTAAAAATTGACTCAGTACTTCAATGCAAATTTTGAACAAATTGTTTCGGAACCGTGCGCGAGGAAATCGCTCACTCCATGTTCACCCATTTCATCAAACACTTCAC